TGGATGAATGGTAGATGGATGGATGGATAGATGATGGATGGATGATAGATGATGGCTGGATACATGGATGGACAGATGGATGGATAGATGATGGATGGATGGATAGATGGATAGATAATGGATGGATGGATAGATGATGGCTGGATACATGGATGGATAGATGGATGCTAGGTGATGGGTAGATATGCTGGTGGATGGTGAGCATTCTCTGCGACGGCCCGGCCTGGACTCCAGTCCACACAGTGATTCTTGAATCAGAGCTGTCCGCTGTCCTCAGCACCGAGGGAGACAGGGCTACGAGCACACATGGCGGATGACAGACGCAAACCCCCAAGGAGGACAGCTCTCCCCTCTGACCTCCATTCCTCTCAGCCAGGTGCTGAGAGGACACCTGCACACCCGAGCCTCAGTTTCCCCTCCCGTGGCAGGTACCTCAATGCGCTGGAAGCCGGAGTCTCCTACTTTTCTCAGGTGCTCAGCTTCAAAGAAACCCTGAGGCGTCAAGATCAGTTCCGGGATTTCTTAACAGACAGACACAGGAAGAGTAATGGTAAGGAAGGGACTCCGAGAAAAGTGCTCTTGGGCCCTTGTCACAGCACCCAGCTCTGTGTGTGTGTGTGTGTGTGTGTGTGTGTGTGTGTGCACACATGTGTCGGTCCTTGCGCTTGAAGTCAGGGCCTGGGCCCTGTCCCTGAGGGTTTTTTTTTTTTTTTGCTCAAGGCTGGCGCTCTACCACTTGAGCCACAGGACCATGTTTGGTTTTGGGGTGGTTCCTTGGAGATCAGAGTCTCACAGACTTTCATGCCCCGGGCTGGCTTTGAACCACGATACTCAGACCTCAGCCTCCTGAGTAGCTGGGATGGCAGGCGGGGGCCACGGCACTGGGCAGGTTTTCGCAGGATGAGGCTCAGCTTCAGGGATGGGTGTGCTCCCTGCCAAGGTGTGGCCCACCATAGACTGTCTGTCTGTCCATCTGTCTGTCTGTCTGTTTCCCCCTGGGCAGTGATTGTCACCTGCGGGACCCCAGACCACATCAACAAGCTGGTAGGAGACCAGGCCGTCGATGAAAACACTGTCATCATCCTGGTGGATTTGTTCAAGTAGGTGATGGCCCGGACACCCCCTCCCGCGGGCAGGGGGTGTGGGGGGATGGGCGGGGGGGCAGGGTGCCCTTCGTTCGCGCTTTGGGCTCGGGATGAGGATGGCATTTGAGCTACAAATTCACCCGTGGGAGCATCTATCTGCGTGCGACTGCACCGGGACTCACACCCAGAGCCTCCTGAACAAGGCTTCCACCGCCTGAGCATCGCCCAGGCCTTGTGGGGTCTTTGTTAGAGTTTATGTTCACTTTTGAGATCGGTCTCTCTGGCATGGCCCAGGCCTAATTCTTGCTCCTGCTGTTTGCACCTGGCCTCACCGTAGCTGGGAGTATAGAAATACTCTACCACACCCAGCCACATGCTCATTGTGAGTTATGTTTTCTGTGTCAGCCCTGGGCCTTGAACTCAGGGCCTGGGCGCTGTCCCTGAGCTCTTTTACTCAAGGCTGGTGCTCTACCACTTGAGCCACAGCACCGCTTCGGGTTTTCTGGTGGTTCCTGGGAGATCAGAGTCTCCCGGACTTTCCTGCCCAGGCTGGCTTTGAACCGCGATTCTCAGATCTCAGCCTCCTGAGTGGCTGGGATGACAGGCGTGAGCCGCAGCGCTCAGCACAACTCCCTGGAAGTTCACGGAGCCGGGTTTTGTTACAGTGACCACTACTTTGAAGACAACGCCACTGCTCCTGACTACATGACCAACGTTCTGGTCCTCACGCTGCTGCCCAGAGACTCCGTCCTGAACATCTCCTTCTCCAGGGGCCTGCTGCCGGTACGCCATGCGTGACTGTGCGTGTGTCGGTGTCTCTGTCTGTCTGTCTGGCTGTCTGTGCTGATCCTGGGGCTGGAACTCACTTGTGACCCCCTCCCTCATTTTTCTCCCACTTTCCCTCACCCCCAGTCCGAGCTCTTGGCTGGCGCTCTACCGCTTGAGCCACAGCACCACTGCCACTTTTCTAGTGGTTCATTGGAGATCAGAGTCTCCCGGACTTTCCTGCCCGGGCTGGCTTTGAACCGCGATCCTCAGATGTCAGCCTCCGGAGTATCTGGAATAACAGGCGGGAGCCACCGGTGCCTGGCCACTTACTGCTTTCTATTTTTATTTTGGTGAAAATATCAAACTACAAACATTCTATATTACATATATATCCATATATGTACATTTCCATCTATGTTTATATTATATATTATATATTATGACACTATGTCTTACTATATGTAATAATTATAATATACAGTATTATCTAATGAAATATGACATATTAATATTGTAGCATAATATACTAATGTAATAATAGAATCATTATAATTACATGGTACATTATGTATATGTTTTAATATACTATATTATATAACTAAATATATAATATGTAAAATATATTACATATTATGTTTATATAATAT